TGGGTTGTGGGGCCCCCCAGGGCTCTGAAGTGCAGGATGGATGCAGGATGCTTGGGGGGGGGTTGCTGGTGTGGGCCATCTGTCACCTGCCTTCTTGGGGTGCACCCACCCATGGGTGGCCCAGGGATGGAGGAGCAGTGTCTCTGGAGACATCCCAGAGCCCTGCAGCAAGGGACATGGCTGCCCATAGGAATGGAGGGAATCCCGTGGCTCCAGCATTCCCGGGAATGGCAGGGAAAGGCAACTCAGAGCTCCCAAGGCTGGAGGAGGCTCAGGGCAGCAGGACACGGCTCCAGCTGAAGTGAATCACATGTGGCCACCACGAAGCTGGGCCTGGGAGTGGGTGGTTCGTAGAATCATGGAACCATTGAGGATGGAAAAGGCCTCTGAGATCATCAAATCCAACTGTCAACCCAACACCACCAAGCCCACTAAACCATGTCCCCAAGTGCCACCTTTTTGGAACACCTCCAAGGATTCAGAGGATGCTGTTTGAACCCTTCATTGTAACCCTCCTCATCTGACCAGCATCAACTTCTCCTGACAGATCTGGGCCCCACAGATCCAGCTGCCCCATGGCTCTGGCTGCCCCATGGCTCAGTGGTTGCTGCCTTCTCCCTGCAGGCAGGGAACTGTGGTGGGAAGTGAGTCACAGGGTGGGGAGACTCACTCGCTGGAGTCCCCACTCAGCATCCTCCGTCACAGCACTTTTCCCAGGCTCCTGATCCTGCTTTCCCAAATCCTTCCTGCCTGCGCTTTCCTGTCTGCACCAGGAACGTGGACCTGACCAGTCTCCACCAGCATGACTGTGCAAAGGAGATTTCGTCATGGGGATGGCCCAAAGCTGCTCCAAAACAATGTACTCACTTCCACCTCTGCCCCATCCTCCAAGAGGGGCTGGATCATCATCAGTGTAACCAGCAGGGTGTGTGGGGGGGATTCTCCCCCTCTGCTCCATTCTGATGAGACCCCCCCCTGCAGTGATGGGTCCAGTTTGGGGTCCCCAATACAAGAAGGACATGGAGCTGTTGGGAGAGGATCCAGAGGAGGCCCCAGAGATGCTGGGAGGGCTGGAGGAGCTCTGCTGTGGAGACAGGCTGGGAGAGTTGGGGTGTTCAGGCTGGGGAAGAGAAGGCTCCAGGGAGACCTTAGAGCACCTTCCAGTGCCTGAAGGGGCTCCAGGAAAGCTGGGGAGGGGCTTGGGACAAGGGCAGGGAGGGGTGGGATGAAGGGGAATGGATTAAAACTGGAAGAGGGAGATTGAAGTGAGACATGAGGAGGAAATTCCTTGCTGTGAGGGTGGTGAGAGCCTGGCCCACGTTGCCCAGGGAAGCTGTGGCTGCCCCATCCCTGGCAGTGTTGAAGGGCAGGTTGGATGGGGCTTGGAGCAGCCTGGGCTGGTGGGAGGTGTCCCTGCCCATGCAGGGGGGTTGGAACCTGATGATCTTTAAGATCCCTTCCCAGCCAAACCAGTCTGGTATTCTATAAGAACGAGGGACTGATCCTGCCCCGCGGTGCTGGGCACCAAGGAGCACAGGGTTCGGCCTGGGAAGAACCTGGCTCAGCGCCGGGAGGTGGGGATGCTCCTGGGAAGGGGCTGGGAATAGCTCTGGGCACCCGTTGGCGGCACAGCCGGCAGGGCAGGGCGCGGCAGGGCGGGCTCAGCACCCGCGGGCGCCGGCGGGCGGCCAGGTCCGGGGGCTGAGTTTCGGTGGGGTTGAGTCAGCAAGGGAGGGAGAAGCCAGAGCTGCCTTCACCGCACCCAGCCTGGGCCCCAGCCCCGCCGTGGGGCTGCCCCGGGGGTTCGGGAAGGGCAGGGAGGAGGGTGAGGTTGTGCCCCCAGGGGACCTCGGTGGCCCCGCGCTCTTGTTCTGGCACCGTGGCCGCTGCTTGGCACGTGGGCAAATGGTGCTGGGATCACAGGATGTGGCTTTTCCATCCCACCATGCAATGGACGCCATGGAGAGGTGCCTCCAACCATCTCCTCCTCCTCACCAGGAATGTCCCCCCCTTGTCATACTGGATGGAAACCATCCCCTTCCCACACTGGGGACATCAGGGCTGTGTCCCTGCTGCCCTGCACCAGCTGGGGCAGGAGCTGTGTCTGGTGAAACCTCTTGGCTGGAGCCAAGGTTGTGCCCCCCCCTCCCCAAGGAGGTGGCAGAATCTGGTACTAGTAGAGTAAGAAATCCCCTTCCCAGTGCCTGGGTCCCTCTGTGGGGGATGCAACTGGCTCCATGGCAGGGATGGGGGCTTGGTTGCATGGGTGCAGTCCCACATGGGTGCCAGCACCCTGTGCTTCACCCCAGCTTGGGCAACCCCGAGGCAGGGGAGCCCTTACAGGAGGACATGAGGGACAAGTGTAGGAGCCCATGGACACATGTCCCACCTGTGGGACAGAGCTGCGTGGCTCCCAGGGCTGTCACCTGCCTGTGGAAGGGGCAGGGGGCACAGCCCCTCTCTGCCACCCCCTGCAGCACCTGCCATAGCCCGCCCCAAGCAGCGGGAAGCTGCAGACATGTCCCCCCCTTGCAGGACACGCTCCCCCTGCCAAATCATTGCAGGGCTAAATATAGTCCCCCTGGCAGACGATGCCCCTCTGGGGACAGCGGTGCAAAGCCGTCCCCTTCTTGGGGGTCGCTGTCACTGGGACCCTCTGCCCATGTGCTGCATTGGCGTGGGTGCCAGTGGGCACCTCTGTCCCTCCCCAGGACCCCACTGCAGGGCTTTGGGTTCTCCCAAATAAGTGCTTTTTTCTCTTCTCTTGGCAGGAGGAGGAGAACGGGAACCGACCAGGTGAGCACCCACGTCCCACCATGGGGACCCCCGATGAAGGGGGACGTTACCACCCAGATTGGGGGGCACAGGGTGGCAGAGGGGCACAGCTGTCACAGGTCATAGCAGGCAGCATGGCCAGGGGACACAGTTCCCTGTCTCTGCTGGCTTGCAGGAAGGTTGCAGTGCTTTGTTGGCAGCTGGGGTGGCACTTGCCATGGCAGACAGACTCAGTGTCCCCAAAGCCCTTGGGAGGTTTGCTAGACCTTGTGCCCAAGGGCTTCTGGAGGGGCTGTGGTGTGGCCAGCACCGGTCCCTGCGGGCAGCTCGGTGGAGCACGGGGTGTTTGGGGACAGGGCCCTGTCGTGCTCCTGGAGGCTGGCGGTGACATGAGCCAATGTGAAGGTGTCAGCAGGGATTGCTGCTGGCGCCGTGACGGGGCCGCGCTCCCCAGGGAGCTGGTGCGGGCAGCAGTGCCCAGACCTGGCACCCACTGCCTGCTGGGGGGGGGCACCTGCCTTGTGCCAGGTGGTCTCTGGGGAGGGGTCATCATCCGTGTCCCTCCTCCATCCTTTGCTGCCACCCCAGCCTGCCCACCCGTGGGTTTCTCGCAGCATTTTTGCAGAGTGTGACCCCAGTGTGGCAGGGGGAGATGGGGCTGGGGAGGGGCTGCCTGAGCTGGGGCTTTACCGGTGCCCCCCTGGGTGCAGGCAGAGCTGTCATGTGTAGTCCTGGGGAGGTGAGGAGGGTACTGCCAGTCCTTGCCATGGGATGGGCCCAGCTGTGCTGGTGGGTCCCTGACGCTGTGTCCCTGGGGAGCAGGTCCCCCCCGGAGCCGCCTGGAGCCCATGGACACCATCTTTGTGAAGCAGGTGCGGGAGGACGGGCCAGCACACCAGGCTGGGCTGCGCACGGGTGAGCAGGGACACACGGGCTGGCTGGTCCTGGGGCTGGGGGTGGCTCCAGGATGCTCCCTGGATGTGTGTGATGCTCTCCCTCTGCTGGGGAGTTTCTTGTTTCTTTTGCTCCTTTTCTTGCATTCCTTCTCTTTTTTCCTCCCCTTCGCTCTGCTCCCTGGCACTGGGTGGGGGGCTCTGCTCTCTCACCCCTGAGCTGGGTTGCCTAGAGCAGCATTGGTGTCCCCATGGGTTAGGCTGGCTCTGGAGTCCCCTGCCCTTGCCACAGGGTACCTGGCTCTGCCCCTTCCAAAAGCCCTGGCCACTTTCAAACCCTGCTGTGAGCCACCATGGGTTGCCAGCAGCACCACCGAGTGCCACCACTTCCCCACTGACTTGAGTGACACCATCTTCCCCTGCCCTGGCTTTGCAGGGGACCGGCTGGTCAAGGTGAATGGGGAGAGCATCATTGGGAAAACCTACTCGCAGGTCATCGCGCTGATCCAGAACAGGTGAGACCCCGTCCCCTTGCTGCAAGGGACCGGGGCAGGCATGCTGTGACCATCCCTTGGGGACAGGGACATTTGTTCTTTTGTGGGGGCAGCATGAGATTGGCCTCCCTGGGAGCAGGTGGGGAGTGACCCCTGACCCCTCTGTCCCCTGTCCCCGCAGTGATGATGTGCTGGAGCTCTCCATCATGCCCAAGGACGAGGACATCCTCCAGCTGGTGAGTTTCCCCTGTGGGTGTCAGGAACTAGGTTCCCCACTGTGGATTTTCCAGACTGTTTTTCCTACCAAACCTCATCTGTCCCTGCCCCTGCTCCTTCTGTGCCTTGGGTCAGGATAGCCAAGTGTCCCAATCTTGCTGGGGACATTTGGGGACACTTAGGGACAAGCCCCTAGCAGCATCCTTGGAGCAGCAGTGGGTCTGGAAATAGAGGTACCAGGATGAGGGACATTCCCCCCTGATTTTTTTAGGATGAGACCCTTAGGAATAGCTGGAGGGTGGGGGGTCTGACAGCCCTGGCAAAGGGCTTGGGAATCCCCCCCTCTGTGCCTGTCCCGGGCTCTCAGGATCCCCCGGGTGTGAAGATGGAGGCGCCTGTGAAAAGTGAGACGGGAGAGCCGGGCCAGGCAGGCCAGGGTATTTTAGGAAGGAGGGAAGGGGAGGGGGGGCAGCCGGGCGCTGCGTGGCAGTGGGAGGAGCAGAGGGGCTGGGAGCAGCAGCATCGCTCACTGCTGGGGGGGTCCTGTGGGAAAGTGGAACAGGGGTGGGGAGGACTGCAGCCACCCCTGCCGAGCCCGCCCCGATGGGAGGATTTGCTTGTGGGTTGGGGCATCCCGGT